TTTGCCAACACTCCTTTTCTGTTCTTTCCCCCAATAAACACAGATGTCTCAGAAAGCATCCATCCATAGAACCCTTGCTGGTCTGTGACCCTTCTAGAGGGATGTGCTGGTGGTCCCACTGAAGGATGAGTAGAATGTCAACATATGACAGAATGAAGAGTCTGCAGATGGTACAGCTTTGTACCAGCCTCTCAAATGCCACTGACTCGAGATTGCCATGGCCCTTGATAAACCATCTGAGTCCAGGGTGAACGGGCAGGAACAAACCCCCACAGAAACTGCTCCTGCTTCTCTATCCAGAACATCTCTTTAAGTCACAAATTCCACCCAGTACCTCAGGGTGATGGATCTGCTCATATCCTGATGCCCACATGTACCAGCACAATCCTGATGCTACAAGATTACCCCCCGACACACACCCTGGACAGTGATGGCTCTCCCAGAAGGCATGGCCCTTGTCCCCAGATGTCTTGTCATCATCTCAAAGGAAGGAGGGCTCTATAGACACAGAAGACAGGACCAGTCCCACTGCCACCTGGCCCCCATGAGCGTAGGCCCATATGCTTCAGGGCGACTTGTCTCTTCCTGTCTGCCTTAACCCCCTCTCTTCCCCAAATACTAATGTACCTTTTCCTGGAGTCCTTGAGGGCCTCCTCCAGTTCAAGATTCTCACCTCCACAGCTCTTCTTGCCTTGGCTCCCCAACCTGGGCGCCCCTGCCCTGCAGGGTCCCCACATCCCTGACTCCCAGAGTATATCTTTGCAATCCATGTGCCCAAATCCACCCCTCCCCATCCATTCACCCAAATCTATTTCCTCCCCCTCCACACACCCAAAGCTACTCCCTTCCTGCCTCCAGAGGCCTAGCTCTGACTTCCTCCAGCCCATCCCTTCTGATCCTCCTTCAAGAGCCTCCGCAACACTGGCTGACTCTAAAACCCCTCAGTCTCCCCCCCACATGGAGTAGAACTGGTTTCTCTCGCCTCGTGACACAAGTGTACTTGAGACCAGCAGAATACACTGTTATTCTAGGTTAGGGTTTGGATTCTGACTTTTTAATTCCTAGTTTGCTCTCAAGAGCATTTTGACCATGGGTGGTAGGAAGTGGGCGGGGACCCCAGCAGCTCCTCAGCCTGCTAACATCAGGCACCATTCCTGACTCTGTCTGTGGAGGATGTTCTGACCTCAAATCTTGGGGTTCTTGAGAAGCCATGGCTGTGATTTAAACGTGGCCCTAAAAGTTCCTGTGTTGGAAAGTGGCCCCCCAGTGTCTCGTGTCAATGTCACTTGGAAGTGAGGCTTTTGGAGAGGTGAGGTCACGAGGGTGGGGCCCATGGCATCAGTGTCTTTACAGAAGAACAGAAAGACGAACACGAGCTAGCGCACTTGCTCAGTCTCACCATGGGACGCCCTTGCTACATTAAGAAGCAGTTAGATGCCTTCACAGGCTCCAGTACCTTGATCTTGGATTTCTTAGACTTCAGAACCATAAGCTAAACAAACTACTATTTCTTATAAATTATTGAGTCTCAGGAAATTATGTTACAGCAATATAAGATGAACAGACACACTTCCTCTTGCGGCTCATGTCATCCTGGCCTTCGATGTGCTGACCCACCTCTGGCACCTCCATATCCGAACATTGTCTTAAAGTCACCCAAGCAGTGAGCCTTCTCTTCACTGCAGCCACATGACACTAAGACGGGTCTGAATTACAAGCCCCATCCACCAGGATCATCATCCTGGTGCCACATCCACATCCTGGGCCCTGTGGACCAGGCTCCACCCTAGGAGCTGGCAGCCATGTCCAGGGCCACTAGCACTGGAGCTACATCTGGAGGCTCCTCTCCCCCTTAATTGTTCTTGATGCTTTAACACACGATGACTAATGGGCTCTAATTGGACAGCTTCCGCACCGAGTGATGGCCCAGGGAAGTCGCTGCGGTGCCCTCTCTGACCCACCGAGCCTCCTTGTGGCTCACACACAGAGTGTAGAGGTCCCCAGGAAAAATACTGGCCCACTCGTCTATTTTTTTTTTTTTTTTAAATCACACCAGCACCAATAAGCAGTTTTATCCTTCACCCGATGAGTACAGGACAAAGAAAAGGATAGGGGAGAAGCTGAAAGCACACGGGACAAAACAGCACAAATGCCACTGAGGTCGGTGGCATCTGTCTGGAGACGGCCTAGACAGCTCCTGGAACAAACCCAGCAACAGCCAATTAGGGGAGGGTTCAAGAGGAAGATTCCACCCCCCTCATTTCTCCATCACGGGAAAGGAGAGAGGAGAGGCATCCCAGACACCCCCTCATCTCCTTCCTGACCCCAGTCTCTGAGCGTGACTGCATACTCCCAAGACCACAGAGAGAGGCCCAGGGCAAAGAGGGGTTGGCAGAGTGAGGAGCCTTGGAAGAGAAAGTGTAAAAAGCTTCAGGCACACAAAATTCCTCCACAGGGCAGGCAGAGAGAGAGAGAGAAGAGAGGAGAAGAGAGAAGCAGCCCAGCAGTCTGAGGTCCTTGTTTCCTGATCACTGTAGCACATGCCCAGAGCTGTTCCAGTGCAAATGTTCAGAAGGGATTACAGAGTCCAAGCCCCTTACTCATCCCGAGTCTGCTTTTCCAGCTCCATTTGTCAACAGAAGGGGAACCTCAAGTGTTTGTTTTTAAGTGGACCCATGTTAGAGAGAAGAGAGAAGCAGCCCAGCAGTCTGAGGTCCTTGTTTCCTGATCACTGTAGCACATGCCCAGAGCTGTTCCAGTGCAAATGTTCAGAAGGGATTACAGAGTCCAAGCCCCTTACTCATCCCGAGTCTGCTTGTCCAGCTCCATTTGTCAACAGAAGGGGAACCTCAAGTGTTTGTTTTTAAGTGGACCCATGTTTGCAAAGTTGGCTCAAGCTAAAGTCTCCAAATTAAACTCTCGGAGTGGAGAGGACAGAGCACTGCTACAGAAGAAGGAGGCCTCACAGCATCCCCCAGCAGAACCGGATGGACGTGGACGAGCCCTCATGCGCAGGAAGGTCTGTGTGAGTCCAGGGAAACTGGCTTCTCCCTCCCCACCCCTGCTGAGGGGACTACAGGACATCACAGGATGCTGCGGAAGGCACACCCACCACTGATGCTGGCAGCCTGTGCCTCAGTTCAGCCTGAGGTGCCAGCACCCCTGTGATGGATTCTGGTTTAACAGCTTTTAAAAACAAGCAGACACGAGACAGGCATGATGGATGAGTACAGGAAGTGTGCTCATCGGAGATGATTTATGGGAAGGCGCATGTGGCAGTCATGGGTGTAGCTCCAAGAGGCTCCAGGGACTGGAGCGTTCCCACCTGAGCCGTGCAGGCAGCACGGCCGGGCTTGCTCACACACAGCCCCAGCGTGCGGGCCCCAGCCTCGGTCACCTGCTGTCCTGCACAGATGGTCCCGGACATCAGGCAGGACTTGTTTCACCTCTGGGCTCCAGAACAGTGGTGATCCCACCTCTCAAAAACATTTAGCACAGAGGTCCCACCGCCTGCCTCACAAGCACAAGGACCCTAGTTCAATCCCCAGTACCAAAAAAAAATTGGGGGAAGGGACATCCGGCTGTGCCAGTTAGCTCTGCTGGGTGACCCCAGCAATGTACAGTGACATGGTTGGGGAGGTTCTGGCTGTCTCAGGAGAGTAGCGGGGGCAAGGAAAGAGGAAGGGGGGAGACGACTGTGACCGCACTGCAGCTTTGGTCCTGGATGCTGGGGGGGGGATATCTCCTCCCGGACAGCTGCAGAGCCATCTGCCTGGGGCCTCAGGCACCGCGTGCAGAGACAAATCTCATTTTGTAGCAGGTTAATTTCCACCCATGTTTTTAATAAGGACTTGGAATTCACACACAGCAAAACCCAAACTGAACCCATAGTTGAAGGGATGAGCTTTAAACTGGGATCTAAGGATGGAACCCTAAGACAGAAAGAAGGATCAGGGCAGGGCAACCGCCTGGGAGGAATCTGCTTCCTCCCCACACCCTGCTTTGAACCGCAGACGCTTCTGTGGTGACGGAACCGTGCTGTGCGGCCTTCACAACAAGAACGTTCCGGGACAGACATCTGGCCCGCACCCAGGCTCTCTCACAGGCTTTCCTGGCTCCGTTCTCCACCTGGGGTGTGGGACCCACAGGCAGGAGGCTTTCCCCAGCAATGGGCCACTGCCTCTGGGCAGGGCTTGCATTCACAGCTTGGAGGGCTGGGCAGCACCTCTCTGGAGCCCACGTCTGGGCCAGGGTGTGTGCAGGGGTCAGGAGCAGGGCACACCGGGCCGCTGACCCACATGCCTGTCTGTCTCTCCTTAGACTGCCACCTGCCCTCCCCAACTGATTAAAAGACAGAGCATGGAGGCTGCACACAGGCACCTGAGATGTGTGAGTCAGCCCCAAACATGTCTCCAGTAAGGTCCTCCAGAGCCTCCATGGTCGGCAGAGTGACACAGGTCCCCACAGACACGCCCAGCGCGGCTTTATGGCAGAGGGGCTGCGTCATATGCCGTGGGAGTTGTTTAAAGGTTCGTCCCAAACATGGCCCCAGAAACCCCACTGCTCTCCTCCTGAGTCCGTGCCCCGCCCAGCCAGCCCTCCTGCGTTGGGTGACAGGGCAGCAGCTCCCCAGCTGCTCCAACCTCCCTGCTCTGTCCGCTCCCACACAGAAGGCAGCAGCATCTTCACGTAATGCAGGCCCTTTGGGGGCTCCCACTGCCCTTAAGACAAAAGTCCCACAGAGCCAGCAAGGATACTCGAACCTGTCTCCTTCCCTTTCTTCCATATCCTGCTCAGCTCCTCAACTGGCCTTACAAAGCTCCAGCAGACACGCTCCCGGTCCGCCAGACCTTCCCAACAAAGGCCACAGAGCCACTGCGACCCGCAAGCTGGAGACCCACACAGAGCGCCCCACCCTGCGACCCCTCTGTAAAAGTGAAATCGCCTCACTGCAATGCTCTCTCAAGTCCAAGCTCAGAGTGTACAACAGGCGGCCTTACCTGGTGGCCAGCGGGCAGGGAGACCCCAGGGAGGTTCTGGGATGCAGCGCAGCGACCCCTCTAAAAGTGAAATCGCCTCACTGCAATAATGCTCTCTCAAGTCCAAGCTCAGAGTGTACAACAGGCGGCCTTACCTGGTGGCCAGCGGGCAGGGAGACCCCAGGGAGGTTCTGGGATGCAGCGCTGCTGGGAGAGCAGGTAGCACAGGAAAGGCTTAAATCCTCAGGGGCAGGTTTTCAATCTGGAGGAAAAGAGGGAAAACAGTTCTTGAACACTGCCTTTAAAGGAGCTGTCCTTGTCTTAATCTAAAGAAACTCTGGTGCATTATTAATAAACGAGATAGGAGAGAGCAGCGTTGTCCATGTTTGACCCCAGAGGGCAGCACCCCTTCCTCCAAGGACCACTTTTGCTTTACAAAAGCAGGGAAGTGAAAGGAATCTGGAGGAAAACAGACCAGGAGAACTGTTGCCAAAGAGCCGGACACAGGTTCCCCTTGCTGCCGTGCACCTGGGCTCTGCTCACCCACTTCCTCTGGTCCCCGGCCCCAGGATGCTTGGACCCCACTAAGCTGCCCATCTTCTCTCAGGCCCACTCCTGCCCTCGCTTCCCGAAGCCGCCCCTGCCAGTGCTTCCGCAGCCACCTGTGCTGCTCTTTGTACGAGACTCATCAGGTGACACCATTGCCCTGACCACAACCCTTCGTTCAGAGAAAATAGCCGTGGCTGTGATGAATCCAGCTTCCGGGAGCCTGAGGTCTATCAGATTTGGGAGACTCACTCTCTACGAAAATCGGCCGAGATGATGGACGGGAAGCTAAGACGCAGGGGCTTGTGGAGGCTTGTGCATTCACACAGCTTGGTCCCTCACAGCCCTGCAGCCCCGGCCTCCCGGCTGTCCCTCCACACCAGCACGCCTCTTTGCCCTGTCCCCTCTCCCCAGGGACCCTCTGAATGTGGCACTTCCCAGTGAGGCCACCCCAGGCCAGACGTACTGTAAGAGTCACCCCTGCTCCCTTCCCCACGGGTGCTCCCCAGCACCGGTCATCTGGGGTCATTGGTTAGCTTGTGTGCTGCTGCTGGAATGCATGCGCACTGAGGGCTGCAGAGCTTAGAGCCATGGGACTCACACTGCCTGGCTAGTTGGTTCTGGCTGAAGGAAGGAGTGAGGGAAAGAAAGAGCTCTCACTTGCACTCTCCCACTAACGCTCCTGGTTTTGTTTAGAACGGGGTCCCACCTTCCACAGTTGGGCTCCAAGAAGCAGAAGGAGGCCAGTGGATTCTGTGGTTTCAAAAATAGGGGGACAAGAGGGATACGGGCACCTTGGCCCTGGAAGACTTCTGTTTGCTCCACGTATCCCACCCCAATTAGTGTGCCAGCTATCAGGCTGGGAGAAGGCTCATACCGTTTGGCACGTCCGCCCCATCAGCCCAGAGCCTGGCGCTGGGTGGTTATGTGACTGGGCTGGGAGTACCAGAGCGCCCCTGAGCTCCTTGCTTTGCACCACCACCCCACCCCCAACACACAGAAAGGCTTCCACCCACCCATCATAGAGATTTCATGACAGGGCTTTAAAAGAAAAACACTGCTACTAATAAAACCCCTGCTTCTTTTCCTAAAATGCAGTTACTTAAGACAGCATAACCCCCATCCTAATCATAGGAGCAACCTCAGAGAGCCCTGCCAGCCCCGGAGAGAGAGGCCCAGCAATGTCCACCTGTGCCACGCTGGGTGCAGGTTGATGGGCACAGGAAGGGGTGGAAATGCCCTGGCTCTGGAGGCCCCTCCTCCACAGCAAGTGGAGTGCCCTGCCCTGTGTCCTCAGTCTAAATGCGGTAAACGAGCAGCCCGGGGGAAGAGACAGGGGACCCTGGGAGGGGCCTTTGGGCAAGGAAGAAGGGTGCCCATGAGTTGATCGCAGGTGGGCAGGCTGCTCTTGGACCTCAGGCCTGGACTCTCAACAGCCAGCACAAAAGAAAAGGGCAGGATTCATTCTGCAATAGGCCCTTCGGGGCAGGAGGTTCCAAGTAGGAGTGCTGGCCCTTCCCCGAGCCTGGGGTCCACACCCACTCGCCCCTGGTTCTAGCTGAGCTGAGAAGGAGTGGCTGCACCCAAAGCTCCTCAAGTCTCCTGGAGGTTTGGGGGAGACCACGGAAGGCCCTTTGATTCTGGGGCCCTGGACATGATTCCAAGAGCCTGCTCTCGCTTTTCCAGCTTGCCTCTTCTGCACACGTCTCCCACAGGCTGGGTGGGGGAATGGCCCCTGGAGAACCCGCCCGGCTCTGCTCTCTCACTACCTCCAACACAGACTGCCAGGGCCATGGTGGGCTGGGGCCAGGCACAACGTCTGGCGAGGCCACCATTCTGTCCTCAGACAGAGCTGCCTCCCGGGGCACCAGGAGCGATGGGCGTCCCCCGAGGACGTGGAGACGGAATTCATGCCTGGGGGATCCCAGGTTGCTTAGGGGAATGGGTGGGGAGCAAGGTGGACGTGTGAAACCTGCCTGGCCAGGACTGCCGCCCAGAGTCCCTGGTACCTAAGTCCAACGAAGACAGAGAAGAGGGCCAAAGACAGGGAGGGGAGGTGGGACAGACAGAGGGACCTGCCCCCCAAGCCCTCTCCCCACAACCCTGGTCTTTATTATAATTCCTGGCTTCCATTCCATCTATTCCAGAGACAAATTCTTCCCATCTTCCCATCCCAAGCCAAGCCACACATGTATCCCAGACGGAGGCTCCCTGGCACCCACGGTCTCTCCACTCTGCCTATCATTTAATGCATCCTAACGACTATCTGTAGCCACTGGCCCAGGCCCCACCAAAGGGCCCAGCCCTTTTCTTCCACCCAAGCCTAGTGGGAGGTAACAGCCTGTGCCCTCTGTCCTCCATTCACCGTACTTCACCACAGCACAGAAACACGAGCTGGGGCCACGCACACCCTCACGGCCCTGTGCCCCCAGCCATCAGGGACGCTGGGCTTGCCCTGCCCCCACCCCTACATGGTGTTTTCGGCGCCAGGATGCCAGAGAGAGCACGATGGGGTGGGGTGCTGGGAGGCAGATGGCGATAAATTGGCCACCAAGCCCGTCTCACGGTCCATGGGCAGGGCTGGGAGAGTGGCAGGGCCTGCTGAGGGCGGGTGTCTGGCTGGGACGATGGACCCTCAGGTCCGGTCCGCAGTCCGCTCTTCCCACCCCCACCCCCAGCAACCTGCCATTCACGAGGATGAGAATCCGGTGCGTCCCTTTGGGGAGCAGGAGCTGCATCGTCCTCATTCTCTGAAGCACATTTATTGCACCCCACAGAGAGCAGAGCACAGTGCCAGGCCCTTACCGTCCGGCCTTGGCAAACACAGTACCCAGCGCGGGAGAACACGGGGCGCGTCCAACTGTTGACCTTCAAGCAGGACTGTTGTCCCTGGCCTCCTCAGCTTTCCCCACTATGGGAGATCAGCGAGGAACTCGCAGCCCTCATCCTGTCCCCTAGACACACGAACAGGCTGTACTCTGGCTCCCGGATGCTGGGGACGGTGCAGCACAAAGGTCACTGCTGACCATGACTTTTGAGTCCTTCTTGATCCCTCTACCTGCTTCTTTAAGATCCAACCCATTTGCTTTCATGATTGGGACCCCCCCTCCAAATAATTTGGGGGCCTAGGGATGCTTAAGCTTCTCAGCAAGACTGGACGTGGGCGGTGGGGGACCTGGGCAGCTGGAAAGTGATAATTAAGTGTGACCCTGTCCAGCTCGAGTTGTGCCCCAGGGCCAGGCAGAAGGCTGTCTCAGAGAAGAATTCATAGAGACCACCGTTCAGCGACAGCTTCTCAGTCATAGACTCCTTGCCCACAGTGTGGAGGGGCCGTTCCAGCCCCTGGCTGCTGAGCTGGCTGGCTCCCAGCTTTGCCCCCAGGGTGACAGGAGTTCCCAAGGTGGCCGGAGGCCTGGGCTACCTTTGGTGCTCTGACTGCAAAAGGTATCCCTTCGGATCCTTGCCACCGGGGAGATAAAATGGAAAAAAGGAACACCTCACTTTCTAAAAAGTAACCTTCCACAAAAAATAAGCCACACACATACGAGGGGGGAGGTGGGAGAAGGAAAGAGAGACAGAGAGATGGGTAGAGAGACTATAGGAGGGAAGAGGGACAGAGGAGGGAGACACTGCTGGGGACGACGCACACTCCGCCAGCCTGGACACGGGGAGCTGTGGGGTACAGAGCAGAGATGGGGTTGAAATTATCCTCGCTACTGAAGCAGAAGCCACAGGCAGGTAGGGCCCTGGCCAAGAAGAGGGGCGGTGACAGGGCCCCGGGACAGGACAGGGGAGGCCAGGAAAAGGCGGAAACAGAGGGTCCACCTGGGCTGACCCAGACGGTCGCGGACGGATGTTTGTCTGCCAGGGGTCCGGAGTGATGGGTGAGCACCTGCCAGGGAAAGGGGCCGAGGCGTCACCATCGTCCCCCACAGGTCATCGGAAAAGGACAAACCCTATGTGCATGAGGAGGGCAGACCCTCTCGGTGTTTGTACTTGGTTTTGTGAAAGGAAGGGCGGGAAGAGGACAGGGAAGCCAGGTGGGTGAAGCAATACTTCTGCTGACGTTTCCCAGGCAACCTGCAAACAGGTAGGGAGAAGGGGAGGCCGCCAGTCACTTCATCTGCCCCGAGACGCTGACTCCTCCCAGAGGTGGGGTGCAGCAGACTGACTGGCACACTCCACACAGCACAGCAAACCAAGCCCACGGGAGAGCCCAGGACCCAAGACCCCTCGCATCCCTCTGAGGAAGGGGACTTACGGGATTCAAGATGAGAAGCCCCCAAAGAGTCAAAAGGGCCTGTGAATGAAGGAGCCCCTCATTTTCCCAGCCTAATCCCTGGCCCACCAGTTCAGAGGGCACATGGAGTATTAGTGAACAAGGGTGGCCCCTGAGGGCAGATGTTGCTTGGAAGGTGCAGGTCTTGAATTTGAGGTTCACAAATAACCCATCAGCTCAACTGCCTTGGAACTGGCCACCCTCTCGCTGCCTGAGAGCCTGGGAGACCCTCTGGGGAATTTG